GTTTGTCTTTGGCTAAGCTTTGAGGTTCTGCAAACAAGGTTATATTTATTGTGATTGATTTATAGTTGGAGGAGTTGCAGAGATAAAGACCACAGAGATCCCTTGAGGATCAGTAACAGAATCTTCATTTTCTAGGCTGATAACAGCCAAAAGGGCAGCCAAGCTAATGTACAAGGATGAATGGACACAGGGTTGCCTAAAGACTTATCATTGTCTTCAAAGCACATGGGACCCTCAACAGGGGTGAGGACTTCTGGTTTACTGAACAGAGTGCCTTCCTGGAAGGAAGGACACATCTCTGTTTGTTTGACTAGATAGTATAGCTGTTCTCCTGTGAGCAACTTCAGTGCCCTGAAGAAAGCTGAGTGCTGAAGAGGCCACTTTGTCTATGTAGGACTGTCCATCCCTCAGATCAGGCTGGATGTGGGAAACGGGTCAAACAGGGCCCAGAAGGCTTTGGCTAGTCACTCATACCCTGGCTTCCAGGTCAGATTTCAAATTGGTTTGTCATGTGACAGAGACTGACTGTTTCCTCTTTTCTTCTGCATAAAGCTAGAGTAATTTCCCAACCTCTCTTGCAATCAGATGTGGCCAAGTGACCAAGTTCTAGTTGATGGCTTATGGTCAGAAGTGCCCCACTCTCAGGCCTGGTCCCTGAAAACTTCCATGTGTTATCTTCCATGGTCTTTTTCCCTTCCATGGCCACCCTGTGAATCATGTATTGAGGATGTCAGAGTCACAGGAGAAGTCTGTATCCATGAGTCACTGTGTGGAGGAGAAGCAACAGCCAACCATGTAAACTTCTTTTAGACCTTTTATGAGTGAGAAATAAGTTGTAGGGACTTACCTTTTACAGCAGCTAGCAATACCTTCACCAGTACAAATGTATAAGATCTGGTCTGCAAGAGGGTGGCTTTTTTTCATCTTGTACACGTCATCATTGTTTTAGTTAACTACTGAGCACTTGCTCAGTGAATGTCAGGCCTGTTACCTGCATGCTTTGATTCAATTCTCTTACCAACCCTTTGAGGTCCCTTCTATCATCATCTCCATGTGACAGATGAGGAAATAGGTTCAGAGGGGTTAATTCACTTGCCCAAGGAGACACAGCCAATAAGTGGCAGAGCCACAATTAGAATCAGGTCAGTCTAGCTTTGGTTTTCTAGCTCTTAATCATGATGCTCAATAGCCCCTCGCCTCATAGCCACTCTCTTTCCCTGCATTGGTACTTGGCTGGAGCTTCCCACACCTGCCTAGACCTCTGAATAACAGGATGAACCTGGCACATTCCTGGGTTTATCTGGATAAGGCACATCTATGAGGTGATTTTCGAAAGGATGTTTTAAAAACTACCGTGTGTTGTTGGATGTCATGAGGCTGCATGGCTTGGTCAGAACTCTTTTATAGCTGTGACTGCAGCTTGGAGAGCTATAGTTAAAAGTGCAGAAGGAACATGCGGAGGGATAAAGAACAGAATCTCTGCAAGGCAACCCCCTTAGCAGGATAAAGACTTGAGGTTGCTTTGTTGAAGAGGAGCCTGACTCAAAATGACAAGTGAAGTTGTTCTTCTGCCAGCAGGGTGGCCCTGGAAGACCCATGATCTCTCACACCTCTCCTGGGACCCAGGGGTCTAGGATGATTTGACTACAGTGCCTGGCATCAAGGAGCTTGTGGTTCATTGGAGTTGGGGAGGCAGGCACATGGCATGTTCCAGGATAGACGCTGTGGAAACACGAAGCAATGAACAATTCCAGGCTATGCTCAGGCCCAAGCAGCCTCCATGGCAGAGGGGGCATGTGAGCATCAGTTTGGCAGGTGGACAAGAGGACAAAGCAGGAGAAACAGCATGTTCAGAGATATCCTTATCCTTGACAGGCTCAGAAAGTTGGGTCGTCCAGGACATCTGAGCCTGAGCCAGGGTAGCAGGAAGCAGTGCTGTGGAAGTAGTTGAAGGATGCTGTTTGTGCCTGGCTTGAGAGCTCAGGGTGATGGGAACCATCAGAGTAGGCAGAGGTGACTCTGGTGACTAAGGACATCTGAGCCTGAGCCAGGGTAGCAGGAAGCAGTGCTGTGGAAGTAGTTGAAGGATGCTGTTTGTGGCTGGCTTGAGAGCTCAGGGTGATGGGAACCATCAGAGTAGGCAGAGGTGACTCTGGTGACTATGGAGAAAGCTGGTGCTGGCAAGAATAGGTGAGAAGTGAGGAGGCTGAACCATGGCAGGAAGGATGACGAGAAGTGAGGAGGCTTGAGAGGTTTCTGCAGGGGGTTCAGCAGGGCATGGCTAATGCTTGGGTGCTCTGGGGTGGCAGAGCAGTAGGGGCCAGGGGACTCCTGCTTGGGTAGCTTGGTGCATGATGTTTCCACTGATGGGGCTGAGAGACCCAGAGGAGTTCAAGGTGCCCATGGGATTGTAAGTGGTCCCTTACCCTAGGCAGTCAGGACAGAGCTCTGGGGCTCTATAAGTCTGTGCAGCCATGAATGCACTGGTATAGAGACTGGGAGTGACTAGCATATTGATGGGAAAGACTCTTGGCTAGAGTCAGGAGTGAAGCACAAAGGAGCATCACTTTTAAGGATTAAGTGTGTCTAGGACCTGCCAGGTTCCTGGGTGTTAATGGCCCCCCTCTGGAGGAGAGCACTGTCTAGTTCCTGCAGAGACAGTCCCAGACATACCCAAAAGGTCTTCTGGGGGACAGAGCTGAAGTCTGTGCTCCAGTTAGAAAGGGCCTCAGTTGCTGTTAATTATCACTGACCACAGACCTTCCCTGCTGAAAGAAGGGAGATGTTCAGATTCAAAAGCTCTTATTCCAAAGGCATTGGGTTGTTGGTCTGGGAAACACATTTGTAGTAAAGCAAAAGACTGCCAGGAAAACCAGTGACAGCTTTCCCTGAAAACACAGGCAAACAACATATACACATACCATTTCCTGCAGAGTGAGCACGGGCACCTGTTTGCAGGGAATGTTTTTGAATGGAGTTCATTACAGCGAGAAATGGAGCCAACTAATTGTTTCAGAAAAACTCAGACTCTTCTGGGTCTCTCTCTAGCACTTAGTGAGTGAGCAGTTAAGACTTGGTGCCCCTTGACAGGGTGTAGTACATGGTTCTCATGGCAGAGGCCTTGAGCCCCCTCAAACATCTGTCCAGAGCCAGGGCTTAAGCCACCTTACTCTGTTGGGCCTGTTGGCACAGCTGCCCCGGAGTGCCTAGAATTCTGCTGTCTGCTGCCCTTGTAGCCATCTGTTTGTCAGGCAAATGATTTGAGATGCTTTGGGGGTCATAGAGGTGTTAGGTGTAAACCATGGCATATCCCAACAATGTCCCCAGTATAGGGTTGAGCGTCAGAGTAATGATGACTCCTGGTCCTGTGGCCTCCCTGGTTATAGAGCCATGGACTGTTGGAGCTGGAGGGGCCTACACACCACAGAGCCTGACCTCAGTTTATCAGTAAATGGGAGACCTGCCCATTTGGTTCAATGGTCTTAGCATAGACATTCTATAGGGAAGACTTTGAGGGGGCTCCGGAACAGGTGGAGGCACCCTGCACCAGCACCCTGCACTGGCCCTCTGTAGCACTCATCATGATGATCATTTAAATGACAGTGAGGTTATTTATTGTCTCTCTCCCCACCAGCTCTGGGAGAGGAGGGACCACATCTGCCCAGCATAGTTCCTGAAGTGAATGCATGAATGAGCAGAATGCTTTCAGTAAACATTTGAGAGCTTACTGGGTGGTGCTACTTACTGGTGGTGGTGCTTGGAATACTATCAGGGGCAGCCCTTTACCCGCTTGCAGTCTGATAGGAGAGACAGATCTGTGCATATCATTGCTGTGGGGTGAAGCACCTGGTGGGTTAAACAGCTGGACCTGAGCACTCAGGGAAGGGTTGGCAGAGGGCAGAGAGCAAATATAAGGGGTAAAGAAGGTCCTGGCACAGGGGCAGGGAGAAGAGAAGTAGAGCACTTGGGGGGAACCTCGTGTGGCTTCCTGTGTCTGAGTTTAGACCAAAGGTGGCACAAGGCAAAGCTGGACAGGTGTGCCAGGCGTAGATTTCTGGGGCATTGCAGAGCAGGCCAAGGGTCCTGGTTTTATCTTGAAAGCCATGGTAGCCTCATGGTTCACAAAGCTTTTGGACCAGGCCAGGGTGAATTCAGATGAGTGTGTACAAAGACTGCCCTGCCCACAGAGTTGAAAGTAGAGTAGAGGAGAGTGGAGCATTGGTGGGGAGACTTCTTCAGGAGACTTTTGTGACCCTTTGGTTGAGGTAGTGATGACCCCATTCACAGTGGGGTGGGGAGGAGAGGACCCAAAAGGTGTGGAGGAGGAAGCTCCTCTGGACTGGGTGGCTGTTTGGATGGGGTCTGGGGGAGCAGTAGGCAAGGAAAAGCACCTCTCCCTCTTTTCTAAAGACAGGCCAACCCAGTGGACTTGGAATTGCAGAGAGTTTTTATCCAGCCTGGCTAGACTCTGTACTAACTCCTGTAAGCTGTTCTTGCCTGTCACAGATAAACAGTTATAAGGTAGAAACGGTGGTTTCATCAAAGACCCTAGGTATCTGGCTTTACATCTTAATTCTAGGGGCAGGTGACACAGTTTTCTTTTCTTTTATGACAGCTTCGGCAAATTTATCAGCCCCAGTCTCAGGTGTAAAAATGCAATTATTAAACAGGTATATAGAACATAGCCAAGAAATCCCATTTTCTTTTACATCATGCAGCATAAAGGCAAGGCACTTAAGAGCAGTTATTGTCAGTGTAACATTTAAATGGAAGTGGCTGATAAAATTGATGTCATGGTATAAAATGTGCAAAGCTGAGCCTTTCTCTTTTCAGGGGCCAACTACTCCAGTAGAGCACGTAAACTGGGCTCGGAGGGTGCAGCAGCTGCAGGCAGTGGCATCTGCAGTGGGACTTGTGCCTTCCAGGGACAGGAGTATACCTGGAAAGGGGGGCTGCACTGTCCCCAGCAGACCTGACAGGTGTGCCTCTTGCCTTCACAGTGTGCTTACTGATCCACTTCCAGGGCCACCGCCATGTCGAGCCGCGGTGGGAAGAAGAAGTCTACCAAGACCTCCCGGTCTGCCAAGGCAGGAGTCATCTTCCCCGTAGGGCGGATGCTGCGGTACATCAAGAAAGGCCACCCCAAGTACAGGATTGGAGTGGGGGCGCCCGTGTACATGGCTGCCGTCCTGGAATACCTGACGGGTGAGTGCTGAGTCAACTACGGACACCACTAGCTCAAATGTGGCAGTTCTGACAGCCTTCCAAGGACTGACAAGTTTCAAACCTACAGAAAAGTTACAAGAATAGTACAATGAACACTCTCACCTAGATTCACCAATTGTCAACATTTTGCCCCATTTGCTATATCTCCCCCTACCGTGTGCATGTGTATGTGTGTATGTGCATACACGTGGATGTTTCTATATTTGGTTTTGGCTGTTACATATTATACAGTACATTGTGAAATTTCCTGGATCATCCCAATAATGTCCCTTATAATTTTGTTTAGTTTTATTTCCCAATCCAGGATCTATCTCAGGATCATATACTTGACTGTCAGGTTTTGCTAGTCTCATTTACTCTTGAACAATTCTCCAGCTTTCTTTTTTAATCGTTCATGACATTAACATTTTTGAAGAGTCCAGGCCAGTTATTTTGCAGAGGCCCTTCAATCTGGCTTGGTTTCATGATTGGATTCTGGTTGAACATTTTGGCAGGAGAAGCAGCAGTGATGTTGGGTTCTTCTCTGGGCATTACGTCAGGAGGCCCTGATGTGTGTTGGTCCCACTGTGGGTGATGTTCAGGTTGCTCATTCAGTTAGGCTGGTATCTCCTGGATTTCTGCATGTCCTATAGGACAATATTTCACCCAATGGCTTTAGCATCCCTCAGTGACCACTTGAATCTGTTGTCACTATTATGGTATAAAATAGTGATTTTTTTCCATTTTTTCATCTCTACCTTTCTTAGTTGGCATTCTTCAGTAAATAAGAGCTTTCCCTCTGCCTTTCCCTTCTTTTTATGTTCTGTGCTATCAATGTTGGCTCACGGATTTTTTTATTTAACGGGTTATACTGTATTCATGTCATTACTCATTTGAATGCTCAGATTTCTGAAATTTTACCTTCCAGCTGGTTCTTATGTATGTCCTTTTGCCATGTCTCCATAAGTTTCTGTACATTCCATTGGTTTCCAACATAATAAGGTGTTCCATTCCCGCTGTGGACTTTCCTTGCCCCAGTCATGGAATCAGCTGTTTCTCCAAGGGGTCTCTGGTCCTTTTCATACGTATAGTCTTATTTGTGGCTCTGTAGCAGTTGTGGGAGGCCAGCTGGGCAGGGATGGATGGACACTATCCCCATTTTACATATTGAGCAAACCAGGCCGCAAGAGAGAAAGGGACTTTTCTAGGGTTGCACACATCCGTAAGAGGTTGAGAAGGATCCCAGATCCTGCTGTGCTATTGTAATACTTTTACCACTTATTGCTTGATACATGATCAGGTAAGTTTGTTGACAGTAGGAGGGAGCACCCTGGATTCTTGCAGCCACCTCTGCTATAGCCAGAAAGGGGAGACTCAGCAAGACAGAGTGCCTCTTCCAAAGTGATATAGCCAGGCTATAGAAGAGCTAGATCGCTTCCTGCTCTCTCAAGTCTCTCAGTAAGGCAAGGCCAAATGTTCTCCCATAGTGGACACAGTCATGAGGTAGGTGAAGTTTCGTGTTCTGTTGAAAGCATCTAGGTATGAAAAGTAATTGTGTTATATTTATAAGGTGCTTTCACATACTGTGGGACTTTGGGCTTTCTGCTTGGCAGAGACTTACAGGTGGCATGGCTGGTAGTGTCAGCTTCTCTTCTGGTAGTGATCACTTCTGGTAGTGATTCTTCTCATGTATAGATGAGGAAACAGGCCCAGAATTTAGGTGACACACCCAGAAAAGCTCTGTATAGCATTGGCAGTTAGCCAGGGAGACCAGGAGAGAAGTAACTAGATAGGAAGCAGAGGACATTCTAGTTCTTGCCTAGCAGTTTACATGATGTGTGACCTAGAGTGAGTCACTTAATTTCTCTGGGCTCCAATTTCCTTACAACTCAGATGGAGACAATTGTCTCTGCTCCATCAACTCCAGGCTGCTGTGAGAGCCAAAGGGGCTTTAAGCATAATGGGAAAGTGGATGTGCTTGCAAACCCAGCTAAGCCATGATTTTTGGCTCCTGAACACCATGATGCCCCTGTCACTGGGGACCTCACAAACACTATCATTAGGTCAAGTACATCGGTTTTATTTCGTCCATTTAGCTTCCCTGTTTTTGTTTGTGGAACATGAGGGGGAATACCATTGCTCCATCATATCTCAGGCAGTGACTGCCTGTGCCACACAAACAATCTGTATGTTTCCCTTGTCTGTGCCTGGCTGGTTCTGAATCTGAGCCCAGTTCTCATGAGGTTGAGGTCAGAAAGTCTGTTCTCTTGGGGGCTGGGGACCTTGACTCGGTTGTACCCACACCCATCATTCCTATCCCCAGCTATCACGGGTGTCTGGTAGTGGTCACAGAGAGGAGTGGGAATGGTCAGGGCAGCCCATCACTATAGCTGAGAAGTAGCTCAAAGCGAATCCTTACTCTGATCATTACACATCAACTTTTGTATATTAAAGAATAATATATATGTTGTAAATTTTATGAAGTCCATCCAGCAGGGTGATAGTTAGCTGAATCTGAGCCACTTCCTTTGCCTGCATGCAGCTCTAAGTCACTGGCATGCCCAGTGCCTGATGCCTGCCCCTGACATGGAGCCTGGCCCGAGTGACCTCAGGAATAGTCCAAGCCATTAGTGCTATATCCAGTCACTGCTGTGGTCACTTTTGTCCAGTGGCTCTGTGGACATGTCCATTGAGAAGGCTGCTCTTCCCTGTCCCTCAGGACAGTGCTGCATAACCTTGCTGACTGCTCTCAGAAGGGGACCAGCCCTCGGCCCACTGGACTAGAATGTGGGAGCATATGGATGTTTGGAAGCTCTGGGCATATGCCCGCTCAGAACTTTGTTTTTGGCCCCTAAGTGAAAAGGAAAGATGTCCAAGTCCTTTTTCTGCTCTGCCCTTTGCTTTTGTTTCACTGAAGGCCTTTTCTCACTCATTCTACATACTTATTGAGCACCAACTGTCTGCTTGGCACCATGCTAGGCTCTGTCTGAGAGCACAGGAGTGAGCAGGGCAGAATGGTCTCTGCTCTATGAAGCTCACAGTCTCGTCTGGGAGAAAGAATGCCAACCCAGCCAGTTACAGACTGACAAGTGCAGCAGGAGGCATGAGCAGGCCAAAGCAGGGCTCAAGCAACTGGGAGACCTGCACATGGCTGGCCAGGGAAGGCTTCTCAGAGGGGGAGACACCAGCTGTGACCTGGACAGGGAGATGGTGCCAGCCTGCCCTGTGAGAGCTGGCAGGTAGCCCTGTCATCCACTCAACTGTGCTGGGGAAGCTACAGAAAGAGGGAGAAGCTGGAGCACCAGCCTTCCAGCAGCTTAGGGTCTAGTCAAGGACATGACCCAGACATCACTTTCTAATGCGAGACAGATGTCTAAGGGAAGTCCCACCCACTCAGCAGGTCCTCACTGAGGGCTGTGATGTGCCTGGCACAGACACATGCCAGACCCATCCCCACCCACAAAGAGCTTCCTGTCCAGAGACAGGTACAGGCAAGAAACAGGTGGTGATGATGCAAGGCCACCTATGCTGCGAGGGGGGACATGAGACTGCAAGTGGGTTTCAGAAAATGCCACCTGGTGCCTTGCTCATCTAATTGTCATGGGAAAACCCCACAAGAGGGTTGCTTTCTTCTCTGCATGGCCCAGACTCTTATAGGTGGCAGGAACAACTGCAGGCCTGGTGATGGGGGTATGCCACATGGAGGCCCTTTGGAAGGAGCTGGGCCAGGCCTCCTGCCTTCGGAGGCCTCCAGTAGGAAAGATGGATGCTCAGGGGTTGCTCATAGGACTGCTGAGCTGCAGGGCCCACCTAGGACTAGGTGCTTCTGAAGCAGGGAGCTGACATCTCCTTGATGACCAACCCTGGGGACCACTTGAGGTTCAGCTGTGTTCCAGACCTGGGCGGTTAAGAGTGTGGACCTCAGTGCCAGGGCTTCCATTTCTTCCTTGTGGCCTTAGGCAGATCACTCACATCTCCATGCTGTAGTTTTATCATCTGGAAAATGATGGTCACATAGCTGGCTCATTGGGATATTAGGAGGCTACAGTGAGAGCATGCATGTGAAGTACTTATTCCAGGCCTGCACACTGTAAGTGCCCAAATGTTAATTACTAACAGCAGGGTTAAAGTATAGAAGAGGAAGGGAGTCCCCAGTAATCCTTTTCTGGCTCCCAAGGTGACTGGGAGTTGCCCACTTCCCTTAGGGATGGTGATGGCAGCTGTCACTGCCCACTCATGCATGTTGTCCTTTCAATTGGTCCAAACCTGCCAGGCTTCCCTGGACGTAAAGAATGTCTTGGCAGCTTCAGGGCCACTCCCTCTGGGCTAGTTCAAGAAGTCGCTTGACCCTCATCCTAAAGTCTACATCCCTGCTGCCAAACTCTTCTGTCTGGTGTTGAAGGGCCCTTCTGTCCTGAGCTCCTGGCACATTTGTGGAAACCATGAAGGACTTTACAGGTTAGCCAGGAGCTGAGCATGCCCAGCCCTGGCCCTGTGTTAGGCCAGAGCTGAAGCCAAACCAGCCCAAGGCTGTGTGAACCAGTGGCAGCCCTGCAGGTCAGGGACTGTCAGAGCCCAGCTACATGGTCTCCTGTGAAGAGCATTATTTTGGGGGTTGGGGACCATGCAAATGCTCCTCCTTAGGGCCTGCTCAGGGCTGGAGGGATCTGGGGAGGAGGCTGTGGCCTTGTGTCTTGCTCTGAAACTTGAAATTGGCTTCTGTTTCTCCTCTTGGGTACAGAGAAATCACCTATCAAACTTAAATGGAAAAGGCAACATCTGGAACGAGCGTGGGTCTGGTGACCAGACAACTCCTTTCCCACATTTCTGTGTGTCTAGCTCTGGAGCCCTACCAGACTCTTCTGAAAGCTCTTCCCGAGGAATGTGGTGCTGCCTTCTTGTCTCCTCAGTGCTCCAAGACTATCTGGGCCTTACTCTGTTCTCCTGCCCCCCGGGCCCTTGGCCTTCTAGTTTAGGGGACTATAGCAGCCCTACCTTGG